TGTGAGTAATTTAAGGAAAGAAACGAGTTAGAACTGTCTGTTTAAGGCGTCTAGTGGCTTGATGGAAAAACAAGGAAGGAAGCCACGACATATAGTGAAAGGTGGTGAGGTCGGTGCAGTCTCTGATGGGTTGGGGTAGTGAGTTCCAGAGGGAGGGGGCAGCGACGGAGAAGGCTCTGTCCCCCCAGGTCCGGTGATTGGTGCGGGTGGGGATGGATAGGAGGTTGGCTTCTGATAAGCGGAGGCAGCGGGAAGGGGTGTGGTGGTGCAGCAGGTCTGTGAGGTAGTGAGGGGCCTGATTGTTGAAGGCATTGTGTGTTATTTGAAGTTGATTCTTTGATGGACAGCGAGCCAGTCGAGGTTCTGGAGGACGGGAGTGATATGGTCTGTGGAGCGGGTGTGGGTGAGGAGGCGAGAAGCAGAGTTCTGGAAATGTTTATCCATGTGTAGTTTGTTGAGGAGGTTGGATGGTATGCCGTAGAGCAGTGACCATCAACTGGTGGCCCGCCAGACATTCTCACCCGGCCCGCACGTCTGGGGTGACTGTGGCGTTTGCGGAGTGGTTAGTGTGTTCGCCCCCCACTCATGTCACTTCGAGTTACACCGGTTCGAGCCCCACGCTCGTCAAAAAACAATGTTGTGTCCTTGATCAAGACACTACGTTCCCAAAGGTGCTGTATAGGTGATATATGATATATACTATATATATATATATATATATACAGTATATATATATAAAGATGATGATTTCTACGGTGGCCCTGAAGTGCAAGACACTACAGTATTTCAGAAAACACGACAGCATTTCACAAAACGCTACAGCATTTCAGATCACACTAAAGCCTGAATGAATTTTGTATGAATTTATGTTTCATCCAATCACAGAGCTTGTTGACTTATCACGAGGTTTGTCGAAGCGGACATGCGTCGTCACAACAATAGCTGGGGATTGTGGGTAGTGTAGTCTCTTTGGCGCTCCACATTTCAGAGAAAACAAGTTGTTTCTCAGAATTTAAGGGGAAAAACACAAAAGCATTGCACACAATTTAAACCTATACATGTCGTTTAATTAACAAAGGTAATCTGGTGTTTTTGAGTTGATGAGTAGTGGAGATACTGTCAAATCAATCGACAGTAATGGGAATACTTACTTCCGGGTGTACAATTCTCCGTTATCCAATGGGAATGGACGCTCACATTGCCTTTAAGAGCTGCCGACATAAACGGATGCCGTGCTTCCATGAGCGTCAAATCCCACCGCCGATGGGAATACATTGCAATCAGTTGAAAACTCTTTGCGTCCGTTTATGAAGCTGAAGGAGCCTCGGCGCGTCACAACTGGACGCCACGGGACCCTGACCAAGCGTCGGTCCTGGACTTTTAGGGAGTGAGAGTGTGTTGGTTATAGAGGATGATGAATCCATTTGTGATTCTATTTATTTCAGAATAAAAAATTGAAATTTTAATCAGAAAGTGGTACTCTCTGTGGGCTGATTTAGATTACTATGAGTAACGTTGCGAGGCTTCGCATATAGAGAGAACAAGATGACAAAAATATTTCCTCTACTGTGGATGATTATTTTTCAAATAGATAAGCAATCGGTCCAATCCAAATGATCCACCAGAGTCCATAAATCTTTATCAAAATCAGCCCACTGCAAGTACTAATACGTCCACTTTCTGGTTAAACTGACATTTTTATCCTGAAAAAAAAGCGACCGCACAAAACCACTTCAAAATGATCCAAATAAGCCAAGCCATTTTTTTAAAATTGTCGACACAGGCTATAATTGTAATCAATGCTAATAAACACAACTTATGCTAATTGTACAAATTGCGCAACATAATTATACTAGACTGCTATACAGACATGCAGGCCTCGTCTACGGTGAGATTTAAGAAAAATATTGTGGTTTAAGGTTAAACGTTCGTTACATTACTACATATGTTTCTTATGTATGGATTATGCAAGTTGAAATTAGTCAGTTTCACACAGAAAAATGAGGTTCACACCTGGCACAAGTTGAGTAAAGGCAGGGGCGGACTGGCCATCGGGACGTTCGGGACGAATCCCGATGGGCCGGTACTGAAGTGGGCCCGTTGACGATTTACTAGCGGTAATAACTTGTGCCGAGGTGGGCCGGCGGTACCGAAGTGGGCCGGTCGAGAGTCCCGGGCTGATTTGTAGTCCCAGTCCGCCCCTGGGTAAAGGTCTTTGTTATTACCCATAAACTCCTATACTTTACCTTCAAGGTCTTTCTCAAACTTTATTTCACCCCTCTTTTATCACCATCATATTTAGTAGCAAAAAATGACACAGGATGTTGAGCTTCAGAGTATGACACACACTGACCAAGCTGCTGTATTTTATGAATTGGGAGTGAGAAAGTCCTAACCTCTTTAAGAGCAGAGCTGCTATTGGTCAGGTTCTGTTTTCTCAAAATAAGTATACTCATATAAAGACAGCGCAAGCATGTTCCATTATATCTTTCTCAAGCTTTTCACCACTTGACATGATCTTTACTAGCAAATGGAGAGTGCTTATTGGTGGTAGAAGACCTAATGTTTGACTTCAAAATGAACTCAGGTGTAAAACAGAAGATAAGTTTTTCCTTTTTGAGAAAAATGTCTAAGGAAGACATCTCCACTGCAGTCCTTCTGCTCTGTCGTTCCAAAGGAAACAGCATGAATACAGTGAGAACAGTGAACTGTTTTATATTCAGTAATGGTCAGTTACTGGGAATATAGTTAAGACATCATCATGCGGCATGTTCATGTGTTATATGTCTATATAGTTGTCGTGGTGATTCCAACATCAGCCAATACATCTGTATGGCATCGTATCGCTCAGGCTTTATCCAGTACTCAAGCAGTAATATCAGTTGTAACATGGATAGTAAAAATGTTGAAAATGGAAATTATAAATATCCACCCCTCCTGCCACACGGAGCTAAGTAATCAATAAAACCAGCTCACCTAAGGCAAACCCTTTCTCTCTGAGCCAAGAAGCTAGCCTCATGTGAACTCTCAATCCAATTGTTTTTCTGAGTAAATGAGCAGTGAGTTTTTCCTTTCCTTTGAATTTTTTTTTTTATAGCAGCCTAAGTAGTTTATATCCTTATTTGCTGAACTGTTTAAATTGCATTGGTTACGCTATTTCTACATTATGTTTAATTATGTTTAAAGATAACTGCCTTTGCTGTAATAATATTTGAATTCTAAATACGTGTAAACTAACTGAGATTTGTCATGCCTTTTTCAACCAGATCAACCAGAAAACAATAACAACAATCAACAATAAACAAACCATAATTCAGATTCTCCTGTTATCTTTCTGCACTTCTGAACAATGCCATTGGCTGAAGTGACTCTGAGGTAAGTTTCATGCTGTGACAAGTATAACCTGAAGTAAGAAGGGAGGGGCCAACCTTTCAAGCAGTGCAGTTAAGACAGTGAGAAAACACATTGATATATTATTTATGATCAACGAAGTTATGAGTGACTTTCTCACCACAGCATGCCAAGATGTGCAGGTGTTCAAACCTCCAAAATGGCCTTGGAGGAATACAAATATGTTGTACTCGATTATGTGTTCAAACAAGTTCTCCAAAAACAATAAAAACATAATTAAAACGTTCTCATGTGAAATGCATTTGTATGTGATTGTAATAGAAAAAAGTAGAAAAAAGGTTTCCCCTCAGGTTAACATCAGCTGTGTTGACATTCAGCTGTTGTAGTGAAAAGGAACATCTAAGTTCGGATAGTCAGGCAAAGTGTAATGCTTTTGGTTTGAAGTTAGTGTATCAATGAGAACAAAATGTAACAGTGCAATAGTGCATACAGAAATGAAGTATATGAGTTAAAGCTAACTGGTGAGATGAAGAGTGGCGTGGTGTGTGGCGCAGTGCGTTGTGCGTATGTGTTGTGTGTAGGTGTTGGGTACAGGGGGTCAGAGGTTCAAACCCCACTGCAGTCAGCATATCGTTTTGTCCCTGAGACACTTCACCCCAATTTGCTCCTGTGGGGATTGCCCTCAGTATTGAGTATGAAAGTCACTTTGGATAAAAGCGTCTAACAAGTGACATGTAATGTAATGAAGACATCAGTGAATTAAATGCAATTTTAAATCAACTACATATTAATCCCATATTTCCAACGTCAACATGTTCCTCCAGGGATAAACTCTGCCTGAGCCCTTTTATTGTTATAACTTGATCTTGTTGTCCCGCCTCCTTCTGCAGTGGGTTAATGGCACCATCTGAAGAATAAGCACCACCACAGTTTATCTGGATAACCCAAGTCCTGATTTCACATCATGTTTATGGATGAGGATTCAACTCACATTAATGAGCTCTAAATATGAATGGAATCTTTGCACACAAACTTAAGTAGGCGTGCCCCATAATATCTTTATCAACAGTGGCGGCGCCAGGGTATGGCTGGGGTAGGCTACAGCCATACCAAGAAATGGCTGAGCCCCACCATGAAAAAATATGTTAAAGTAGCCTAAGCAAAATAAAGGCCGCTAACTCGCGCGGAGTAAATTGCACAGACAGCAGTTAGTAAGATTGATTTCAGTAGCCACTTGTCTGGAAATACCAAAGACTAGAAACAGTTTTGAAAACTTTTGTCACGTAGTGATCGTCTTCTCCATAGAACATCTTTGATAACGTCTTCTGGCCAATCAGAATCACGATAACGGCGTGGTGTTGTTGCAGGAAGTCCCGACGGAGAATACTTTTGCTGTAGTACATCTCTATACATCGATACAACATTACGTGTTCATAGAAATCAACACGTAATGAAATAAGACCCCACGGTTTGATGATTGATAGGTGTGTGGGCTGTCTTTCATTTTGACACACAGAACATCGTGGGCTATCCACAATGTAAAGTAATTCATACAGCCTCTTTCCTCTTCTGTGAGGAGCAGCAGGTTCAGCTTTCAGAACAAAGTAACAAAAAACTAAAATGGCATTCATTATTTTAAATATGTCGTGTAGTAATAGATTTATTTATGTTTCTTCTCAAGAGAGTACCAGAATCGGTATTTTATGTTAGTATTTCAAAAAAATCTCCTGGGGGAGAATCCCCCCAGACCCCCCTGCAGGGGTTGGGTTTTCAGCATGTCAACTCTTTCACCTGTGGGGAAATTGCAAGATTGGCTCCAGGTCTGGAGAATCACAGAACCCCTCAGCGGTCGTCAAGGGCTGTTGACGGCCGGCAGGGTTCGCTGACGGCTGGCACCGCCCTTACATTTTTATGTTTTTAAACAGCATCATTAAAGTTGCACTGACAGGCGACAGAGGTCCACCGTTTCCCCGCAGCGAGGCTCCCCCCACGTTGTCAGTTCACTAGCAAGCATAGTAGGGGGATCACCAAAGTCTTTCGGATTCCCCCCCTTGGTCAAATAAATATCTGTACAAAATAACATGGCAATCAATCCAACTGTTGTTGAGATATTTCGATCTAGCCGAAGGAGGTGAACAGAAGAAAAAACAATGCCATCCCTGGGCCAGGTTCTAGTCTTGGTCAAATAAAATCCACCTTGGTAGGTACATCGCTTCAACCAACCTGAAGCTCACCACAAACTTAAAATCACAAACTCAGGGCGAGTTTGGCCCTGAAGTTATATCTCAGCAGTTCTCCAAACTTTTTGAAGCTCAGAAAAACAAGCCTCACATATCCATCACAGCTCTCCAAACAGTTCATACAACATGTCCCCAGTGTTTTTGTAGCCATGTTGCAGACCTCTGACCCCCACCAGGCAAGAGAGGGGCATTTTGACACGTCTGTCTTTTTTTTGACACGTCTGTCTTTTTTTAATCTGTATAGAACATGTAGGCGCTAACTCCAGGGCAGCAGTCTGACATGGAGGCTGTGTGTTTGATTTGCCTTCAACAGGGGGCTGTTTTAATGAGCACACATGGGTGGACAATGACTTTATTTTCATTTCGGCTACCCATTTCTACATGATCATTTTGACTGCTGTCGGTTTGACTGGTCAGAAACAGAGAAGAGAACATGGTGTACGATTTGGCCGATGTTTGAAATCCACAGCCCTGAGTAAAAGAGATGTGCTGTGTCAAGTTTTTCTGGTAGCTTTTTTTAAGCTTGAGAGTTGATCTTTCATGTTGCCTGGTTTTAATGCTGCCTTCAAGTCATAATGGTAAGCTCCTAGTTGAGACTTCTGAAGTGGTAAATATGACGTGTCACGCTTTCAAGTGCATTTAGTTGCAGGGACTCTTATCAAAAGCAAGAGGGTGACATCCAAGCACCAATGTGTGACAAGTGATGAGTTAAGGGAAATATACATATAGCTATAGACACTGTGTAGCTAGAAATACTTAAGAGAAGGAATCATATTATTAGGACAACACTATAAACGCATCTTTGCTTTTGATTGTTTTTCACTATTTCTATGTCTCTTTTTGATGATGGCATATTTCTGTATCAGGAAATACACAAAGACAAGTAGGAAAATTAAGAGTGAGAGTATGGCCAGACATAATACAATGTGAAAAAATAAGTATTGGCAAATTCCAGCCAGTAATGGGCTGTATGTTACATTCTTTAATGGTATTACCCAATAAAAAGGCACCAGCACATGTATGTTTTCCATTACTTCTATTCATAAACATTAGACATTGTATTTGTGGTGATCTAAAGAGCATGGACAAATTACCTTATTTATGCATTTAATGCTGTGAGTTCCATCTAATTTCATAACTGAAAATGTCCTCTACCAAACACTGAAGAAAACCATATAAGGTCTGAATGAAATTATATTTGCAAATAACTGGTCTGGTTGGTTTAACCTTGTTTGAGTGATGTGGCTGCTGCTTTAGCATCTAAGGGACAGAATAATGAATCTTCAAAAACCTTCCTGCAGTGGCCTCATGCTTCTGTTTCTGTTAATGAATACCCATCATCCATTCTTCTCAGTACAGACAGTTAGTTAGGGAAGATGAGGTTCTTTCTGGCTAATGATTAAGAGGAAGGAACGGAGAAAGAAGGAGAAAGTGGAGGAACACATAGTGAAAGAGAATGTGTAATGTGAAAACTCAATGATCTAAAGAGAGACTGGACTAGGCTCTGTGAAGAGGAGAAACCTTTCTAAGTGTTTTTGAACAAGTCTCGGTGAGTCAGACATCTCTCTTTGATACTTTTTCCAAAAAAAAAAAAAATCATCAGAAATGAAAAGTCCTTACCTTCCCTGCAGGGCTTTTCTGGATATTAAAAGCTGGACCTTTGCTGCAGTCGGTTGAGCACAAACTTTTCAGTCACCTTGGGGAGCCACACTGCGAAATGACACTCGACACCAGAGAGAGGGGATATATCGCAGGGGCCTGTAACTGAAAAAGAAACACCAACATGTATGTTACATTGATATACAAATAAATATCTCTTAAATTAGCTTAAATATAGTTCGAGCAAGATCCCAGCCCTTCACAAGATACCCCCGCCTCTAATACCTCATTCACACCAACGCAACTCCAAACTTCAAGCTCCGTGCTAGAGCTTTTCAGGTTCAGAACCGGTTCTTCGGTTTAGCTCCGGCTCTTTTCACACCGCCCAAAGTCCGACTGATGCTGCGTCATTGCGTCATCGTTTGCGTCATGACGTAACCGTTTACGTCATGACGTAACCGTTTGCGTGCCACCCGATGCTAATGCTAAGCTAGCTATGAAGGAACTGCATGTAGCCATTAGCACGCAACAGACATTACACCCGGAGTCTGTCTTCATCATTGCTGGAGATTTCAATCACTCCAACCTAAAGACTGTTCTCCCCAAATTCCACCAACATGTCTCATGTCCCACAAGAGGAGATAAGACCCTGGATCATGTATATACCAATATCAAAGATGCATATAAGGCCCTCCCTCTCCCCCATGTGGGTCAGTCAGACCATATCTCACTGTTCCTTCTACCCAAATACCACCCCCTTATCAGACGAGTCAAGCCCTCGGTCAAGACAGTGAAAGTCTGGCCTGAGGGAGCAGAGTCCTATTAACAGCATCAGCTTCACATCACCAACTGGAACAACTTCGCTGTAACTGCCACTATGGATTCCCAAATAGACATTGACGCATACACCTCTTCTGTTTTGGATTGCATCAACACCTACATCAGTGATGCCACCACCACCAAACAGATCAAAATATTCCCTAATCAGAAGCCATGGATGGATGGGCAGGTCCGCCAACTGCTGAAGGCACGTGACACCGCCTTCAGGTCAGGAGACGCGCAGGACTACGTCTAGCCAGGGCTGAGCTGAAACGGGGCATCAAAAGTGCGAAGCACTGCCACAAGCTAAAGATTGAGGAGCACTTTAACACCTCTGACCCCCGACGCATGTGGCAGGGGTTACAGACCATCACAGATTTCAAACCCACCCGGGCCTCCCCCCCGTCCACTGACCCCTCTCTTCCAGATGAGCTTAATTATTTTTATGCTCGTTTTGACAGGGTCAATCATGAGGTAGCCACTAGGGCCACTCTCCCTGCAGACCATCTGCCCCTCACACTCTCCACCACAGATGTGCATGCTGAACTGAGCAGGACAAACACACATAAGGCCGATGGCCCCGATGGCATCCCCGGACGTGTACTCAGCTCTTGTGCTGAGCAGCTGACCAGGGTCCTGACTGACATCTTTAACCTGTCCTTAGGCCCAAAGAAAAAACGTCCCCACATGCATCAAAATACTACTCCATTGTGCCTGTTACCCAAGCACGCCTCTCCAACAAAGCCTTAACGACTACAGACGAGCCGTGGCACTTACATCGACCATCATGAAGTGTTCGAGAGGCCTGGTCCTGGCCTGGGCTTAAATCATGCCTCCCACCCACCACTTGACCCCTACCAGTTTGCCTATCGTCTGAACAGGAGTTACGGATGACGCCATCTCCACAGCACTACACCCTGCCCTCTACCATCTGGATCAGAGCAACACATACGTACGATCCTGTTCATTGGACGACTTTAGATCGGCATTTAAGCACCATTCGTTCCTTTCCACAACTGATTAACTAAGCTCAGTGACCTTGGCATCGACCCCTCCCTCCTGCAACTGGATACTGGACTTTCTCACAAAACAGACCCCAGCATGTTAGAATAGGCAAGCTCACATCCTCTAATCTCATCCTTTTAGCACTGGTCTCCCACAGGGCTGTGTGTTAAGTCCCCTCGCTATAATTCCCTCTTCACACATGACTGCAAACCTGTACATGGCTCAAACACCATCGTTAGTTTGAGCAGATGCACACTACAGTGTCGGGCTTGTCAGCAACAATGACGAGAGACGGCATACAGGAAGAGATTGACATCTGGCAGAGTGGTGCCGCTACAACAACCTTGCTCTCAACGCCAAAGAAGAACGTAAGAGGTCATTGTGGACTTCAGAAAGGAACAAAGACGCGCACGCACTCCCCAGTCCATCTTAGTGGAGAAGAGGTTGAGCCGGGTCACCAGCTTCAAGTTCCTGGGAGTCCATAATCTCGGAGGACCTCTCCTTGACCACTAACACCTCACGCCTAGTCAAGAAGGCCTTCACAAGTGCATCTTCTTCCTGGAGGAAACTGGCATACTCCGCCCTATCCTCCCAGGTGCTAATGAACTTCTACCATTGCCACCATCGAGAGCATACTCTCTCCATCTGCATATCAGTTGGTACGGTTACTGCACGGTCAGGACAAGAAACTCACTGCAGATGGGTGGTGAAGATCGCACAATGCATCATCAGATGCCACTCTCCTCCATAGCTCAGTCTATGAAAAGTGGTGGCCTGCGAAAGGGCAACGAAACATCATCAGAGACTCTTCCCCCCACAAACCATACACTGTTTATCCCCCTACGTGGCACCCCGCTCTGGGAACACGCTACCGCAGCGCTTCCCGGGTAGAAACAACAGGACTACGCACAGCTCTTACCTTCAGCAGTCAGAGTGCTGACAATGAACCCCACGCTGTCCCATACTGCCTAGTTGTTGACGTGTGCTGTGCTGAAAGCGCAAATCTGTATTCACTGTATTTATTCTTTCATCTGGTGTAATTTATTCTTATTTATACTATTTCCCGTCTTATTTACCTTTATTTCGTATCATTTTATTTTGTACATAACTCTGATAATTGTGTATAATGACTGACTGTTTTGCACTCTGTTAGACCCTCCTTAATTTCTTTACACTGTGCTTGCATTTTTGTAATGACATAAAGAATCTAATCTAAATCTAAAACCCCGTGCTGTTTCAAGCTCCATCGAACCGTTCCTGAAACACCCGTTGGTGTAAATGAGGTATAATGTAAAGCTCACGAATAGATTGGAGTCTGGCCATCAGTTCAAACGGAGGCGTGGATTTGAAGGCCAGAACTTATCGTGGGCCAGCATCTCGTCCGGGAGTCCAAGGGTTAAAAGGAAACTCGTTTTAAATATGATGTTTTTTACCTCAGCATTCGGTGTAAGGGTCAAGCTGCTTAGATTAGGGTGAATGTTTGCAGCTCGGTTGTGGTCTAAGGGCGGGGGGGGGGGGTGTGTTGGAGTTAAGGCAGGGGGTCCTTCGGAGAGCGAATGGGTGAGCCAGTCTCCAGGAACAAGTGATTACCTACCTCCGGGCCCTGCTGTAAAATGTCAATCGTCTGAGAAATGGGTCTGTGTTTGGTGACCTGTAAACTCTGACATCATATGCTGTTCTGGTAGTCGGGCAATGTTTAGTTTTTTTCTAAAATGAGGGATATTGGACCTTTCTCCATTTCTTTTTTTAAATTGTTCCCACTGCACACCCTCCAATCTCCGGTGTCAGAAGAAAACAAGTTGTTACTCGTGTCTCTGTCACACTGCAGCTTCACCTTTACACATTTATTTTACAGCTTAGATGTTTTGTTTATAATGATCTAAATGCTATCTTAAGAGCTTCAAAATAAATGCAGCGTAAGGCATAATCATCAAGCAAAAGACACCTTCCTTTCTGAAGCAATAGCATTGTAACAAATTGCTTCAGTAATTAACATAACCTTTAAATGAAAGAGTAAGATGTATAAATATCTGATGTTAGAGTAAAGTTGTTGCCTTTATCTTGTAGAGTAAACCCTGTGCCCAGACTAAAAAACACAAGATTTTGATAGGATTAAACAGAATATTTGTTTAAAGAGGTATTTAAACATATAGTAATCTCTCTGCCGTTCACAGGCAACTCATCTGCGATTTAATCAGCTCTTATTTGTATCAGACATACTCTGTTTTTGCGAAGTCTCGCCAACATTACTGTGTGTAACGCCATTAAAGAAATTGGGCCTGTCAGATATCCTTGTCAGCCGAGTTTTATAAACGTCAGAGATAGTTTATAATTGTCAAATAAGAAATGAGTCCAATTTCTCTTCACATTAACAGGTTACACATTTATTTAAAAAAAAGATGTGACTGTTTCAAATGTTTAACATATACATAGAATCAATACTACCACCTTAAAATGGGTCATGGGTGGGTATCTATTAGACATGTTAGAAAGTAAAGGTTGTTTACAGAAAACCTATCAAGGGCAGGTCAAAGTAAGACTGAGAGAGAGAAATGTATCAGGAGATATGTCTACTGAGACATTTTATACTGCCCTTTGCTTTTTTTGTATTCAATTTCAAAATGCACAAGCTTCCCTAACCAGTGCAACATCTGAAAACATGTAGTCCATTAATTTCGACTCAGTCATTAGGACTTAATTTAATTATCTTCAAGGTCAGGTCTGAGATGGGATTAAGTCCCTGCCAAAACAAAACTCTCCCTTCCTAGTTTCTGTTCTTTCTGCAACGCCATGCCAACTTCCACTTGGACATTCTGGAAACCTGACAAGAAACGTCTCCGAAGTTATTTCGATGTCAAATGTCCAAAGTAAGAACTTAAGATCATTTAAATAAATGTATTCATTTAGATTCACTAAAATGTGAATCACAGACAAGAATAAATTAAAGTCAAGTCAAGTCAAAAATTAATTTAAGTCGCAACACCAAATGTGGTTGGTTGCGTACAGGTCCCATTGTCCACTTCCTAACCTTTACCTCCTAGGCCTTTGTTCCACCAACAACCTTCTTCAAAATCAAAGTACTACAACTAAAAAGTTCTGTGGTCGCAACGCTATCACGCTGACAACATCTGTCCATAGTTCAATACAGCTTCTGTGGTAGCTGCCTGTTCAGTAGGCAAGGCCGGACTGGCCATCGGGAGGACCGGGAGGTTTCCCGATGGCCTGGCCTGTTAAGTGGCCTGCTGGCCTGAGGATTTTTTTTTATGTATGTATTGTGAACGCAACGGTGCGCAAATGTGGGTCTGCCTCACAGAGGGTGACTGGCTGTCTACATGATGTGGCCTGCCGACATGGCCACTTTCATACAGATCATACCCTAATGCCCTCGATTGGTCTCTGTGTGTCATTCAAGCTCGGGTGTGTGTATGTGTGGCGCGAGCGAGCGAGAGAGAAAGTGTGCACGCCGGTTACGTGTATTATTGTTGTTAGCATCTGGTGCTAGCTAGCTGCGCTAACGGATATAATGAGCTGTCAACAAGGTGGAGGAGAGTCCTCTCCTGTCAGACTGAGAGACTGATAACTACAGCTCAGGTGAGGTAAAGGACTCTGAGTGTTTAGTTAACTTAGTCTAAATTATTTACCTCTGTCTCCCGGGTCGTGCAATTGGGTCCTACATCCTGAGTGTCTGAGTTCATAACATAAAATATGCATGAATAATACAAAAAAAAATGTAACTAGGTGAAAAAAGGTAAGAAACTTTAAAAACTTGTTGAGAGCTAAAACTAGTCTTTGCTGCTGCCTCAAAGAGGAGCAGGGGGGAGACGGGTGAGGCTGGTTCAGGAGCCCAGACACACTCACAACTATAAATGAACCATAAACAAGTTTCAATGTTTTTTTCATATTGGATATGTTTTTGGTTATGGCCATGTTCTTATGATTTTATGATTATTTAAATGTATACAGTTCTGTTTCATATGGGTGTAGTCTCTTTATTTCCCCCTC